AGAATTTTTTTTAATTTTTCACTTTATTAACTAAATTACAAAAAGTATTTTTTTTGTATTTAGTGTTTTATAATAATTTTTTGWTTAAAGATATTGATTACATACAACTATTAAATAATTAATTGCCAAACTTATTACCTGTACGATTATAATACAACAATTTTAATCAAATTTTAAATAACTAACAGTTGATAATATTTTATTATTTATAAGTAATTTAAAATTCAATATTGTCATATAATTGGATATATGGTACAAAAATAAACATATAGCTTAAATTCAATACTTCCATATTTTAGTATCTATGAAAATCAATTTCTGTATGAAATACAGCCATATATCAAAATATGGTAGTCTTGAWTTTACTTAAAAAATTGTAAAAGACTATAAATCTGACTTTTTGGGTTCAAGAGAGTATTTTATTATATTTGAAAAAATCGTAATATAAAGTATGTTTGCAAATATATATGTTTTTAGTTTCAAATGCATAGGTAATAAACTATTTGCGAAAATCACCATTGTAAAAGTGTACGAACGTGTACCTCAATTTTTTTATAATTGCAAGCCGCAAAAGAATAGGTATTAAAACAAACTTACCTTAAATATCAATTTTTCGGGCTTTATTGGACTCCGTGACGTGGATGAATTCCGACGCTGATATGAAAACGCATCAAATACTTCTGACTTGAAGTCTAGAAATAATGTTATTTATGAAAAATAAAAAAATTATACGGAAAGGATGTTTTTCGTTCATTTCTGCTTTGCTATTTTATTGAAATTTTAGAATCTTTAATCGATTGCGTCTCAAGATGGTGTTTAAATTTTAGAGGCGCGTGCATATTTTTACTAAAATATATTTTTTATAAAATATTAAATAAAAATGTTAATTTAAAATAAACGTAATTTCTGATTTTTAAAGTATACATTAAATTTCCGTACCGACCATGTCAGGCGCCAGCTAGTTTGTAAAATTCTAAGTCAAAAATTTTCTCCGAATACGAAATTAAGAATTAATATTTATTACAATAAATTAATTATGGCAAAATCCACCAATATGCCAAGCATGTGGCACCACAATTACAATCAAACACATCTTCATAGAATCAGTGGCGTATTTAAGGTTTTTCCGCCTCTAGGCACTTTCCAATTCGCCGCCTTCCTCCCCCTTCATACTTCCTACAATTWTTTCTAAAACGTATTTAAATATACAATTTATTATATTATAATATTATATTAAAAAGATACATTGAGATATATGTAGATATATGATTAATTTTGAGCGAACAAAAATTAGWYRAGTTTGATTTCATCAAATGAAAAATAATTTTTCTAATTTTGTAAAAAAAAATTGTTGAAATTGGCCGCCCTCCAATGTTTCCGCTCTAGGCCCGGGCCTATAGGGCSTGTGCCTAAATACGCCTCTGCGTAGAATGCAAAATATTTGAAAAACTAAAAGAACTAAACATAAGTCATGACATCGGAACAAGTCTTGGTCTAAATCCAGATAACGAAGTAAGCAACATACATTTTTTCAAAGCATATAAAATTCTCTAATTATTATAAGAATTCAAAATTAACAACTATAGTTATTATTCATTTATAATTTATTAATATATATTTACGTATTTTTATTTTTTGGTATGATATTAAATGTAATAGCCAATGGCCACATAATATGGGTAGGTAAATTATATATTATTTTATTTTAAGCTATTTGTGAATATTTTAAATTTGAAATGTCATCAGTTTATTTCCGATAGATATTAATAGTAATATGTTTCTAGTAAAAAAACCTTGTAAATTTAATTCAGTAAGCTGTCTTATAATAATATTTGTCTATTGTCAGTTGCTATACATCAAGTAATTTATAGTTTTTATTTAATAGTGCTTTCGCTACATCTTATGATTTGTTTTGGATATTTTTTTAAAACTTATATTATAATAGAATGAGAATTGTATAAATATTGAATTTAAAATATAATAATTAAAATACGAATGTTCATTGATCAATGATCATCATTAATTATTTATCAATGGGAAAATCATTGTATATGTGTACAGACATAATCCACCAATTCTTTTACTGACAGGCTTTAATTATTTTTTATACCTATGTCAGTCCCCGATAATAAGTTATAAGTAAATAACAATAAATGGTTGTCACATGCCATACTGAACCTTATAAACTAGTCCACAAGTTCATAAGTAGTAAAATCTACAATATTTTTTAAGTATACGATTTATTTATACCTATTTGAAGCATATTTATTTATTTATTTATGTATTTTTTTGGTTGGGGAAAGTTGAAAACTTTCTGTTTAGAAAAAAAGATACGCGTGAAATATAAGTGTTAATTATTGAATTTTGCGCGTCATAAGGGTGTATGGTTTACCGTTTTTAATACTATTGCGCGCTTCAGTATTTAAGACGCTCGTCCGTTTGGACATATTTATATAAATATATTTACAACAAAAGAATATTAAAAAAAACTTACAAAAACATCGATTCTTCTAGTGAAACTTCTGTTTGTGCGGTTACGAACGTTAAACGCATCATATTCGCCGCTCTGAAATGGATGTTGGTATACTGAATACTGATTTTTATGAAATTATTCATTTACCCGAACAGTATAAATTATATTGACTGTGCCACAGATTTATACTTTTTATAGGTATATAATTATTATAATATAACTAATTATAAATATTTATAAAGTCTTAGAGGTTTTAACAATTTACCGCGTTCACCGATGACATAGCTATACCATTACCATGTTATCTACTATTTCGTCTTATTATCAGAAATTTAAAATTGTTAAGAGAAATAATTGATACCCGCATGTATATTGTCCACAGATATATAAAAATACTTTTAAAAATATTTTTATATGTCTGTGATATCGTCTCCTTTTATATCATAAATTATGGATGTAGGTATCGAGCTAATTCTTGAAGCCAGAATAACCTAGAGCCCCAACCGTTTGTGCGCATGCGCGTAATTCTGTTCGGTCAATCACATTATTCTAACTACGCGCGCGTAAATTAAAATCAAATGTTGTGTTTTGTGTATTGTTATTTGTTTTAATCGGCGGTATACTGCTAAAACTATTCGTGGGTTTACAGTATACACCTTCTAGATCTTAGGTGTCAATTACTTTATACCTACTTACATAACTATAACATTAAATCAAAAAAAAAATTTTTTTATCGCTTCACTCGATTAAAATAACATCCAAATTATCAGATTACAAATATACAAGTATTTTTCAACAACTTAACTGACTGAATACAGAAAAGGTACAGACGGTACAGCTGCTACTACCTGCCAGATAACTTATTGGTTACTGATTAGTGATTGCTGACTTGCTGTTTATAATGATTATAGACGATMGTTTTTCTAAATAATTTTAATAAACGTTGTTATAAAATTGAATAATAAATATAAACGATTCAGAATTGAAAAATAATGTATATATAATGTAAGTATATGTACTTACATTATACCTGCATAATATATTATGTCATACCCACACACTCATATACAATATTATACATTTCCAATCATAACGAGTTAAAAATAGACATAATATATTTATATCAGTATCTAGTATCTATTAAGTAATACTGCTAATTGGTTCTCCTCAAAATCTGTTTTGATAGTCAGCTAATACYAATATATTATAGTAAAATTATATACTATCTGAGAAATGAAAATTACAAATATACAGAGCATTTTGTTTTATCACCGAAAATTCTAAGAAGTATACGGGGCTATACGGCCGTATACCCGCGTATCTCCGTTTATTTATAGAGTATACGTTAAAAAAAAACTTAGAAGTGGTTATAATTTATTTAGTTAGTAGTTACTATAGTATCCAAGGTTTATAGATGATACAGGTTGCCTCAAAGTCTTGTAAATATTGCCTACCCTCTGCCACTCCGATATGCCGAGTGACGTCGTGTCGAACAGATTCTATAATGCCGTATAGGTACTGCCGCAGCGTAGTACTATAAACAATTTATTTATTTATTAAAGCAGAACAGGGTAATATGAAAATATGTTTTATTATACTATAACTGGAACTACATAGGTATTTATTATTTAAATTGTGTATATTTAACAGAGTGTAAAACATTTAAACAACATAAAAAACAGTTGTTTAAAACAGAAAAAATTAATTTGTGAGCACTTCTATTTATTAATTACTAGGTACTTACTAGTACCGTAGTCTTATAACTGGCAAGTGATATCGTAGTATTAATTTATTATCAGTCATTTACGCATGCGCAGTAATAACCAAGGCTCTAGCTTTTTCGAGTATTTTGGCTTCAAATCTAATACCTCATGTATTATACCGACTACCGAGTGGCTACATCCACAGGACCACAGTATATAATCTAAGGTTGTCTACGTATTACAATTTACAAGTGCGTAACATAGCAATTTTTACAATCAGCAGAAACGCGTGTAGCTCTGTTAGTTTAAAATGTAGAGTGAATTGTTCTCTAAAATAAAATTTAAAATTTAAAGGTAAGATTATTATCTATACAACCTCATATGTTTTTTGTTATATTTTAATTTTAAAGCGAGTTATAAGTATTTTAAGATGTAAAAACTATTTACAATTTTTAAATACTCATGTCTATATAATAAAATCTAAAAAAAAAATTGCGCATACTAATTGAGACTATTAGCTTTTGCTGCTGATGTCAAATA